CGGGACCATGTTTCGGCGAATGTATGGTGTAGGGCTCGTAGGGTGAAAGCTTGGAGTTTTGAGGCGGCCGAACTTTTTGCTAGGGGGATCCTCCCTGACCCTAGCCCACTTTTCGAGCTGCCCCAGAGGGCGCAGGACCTTCAGACCATGTTCTGGCACCAGAGGCCCGAGTCGGGCTATATGACTGGGATTGTGTTTCTTGACGGCTCGGCCCTGTTCCCTGGGTCCAGGACCACGTCCAGGGCTAGGTGGCCCGTCGTTATGTGCGATCGCGGTGGCGGAGTGCTGGCCACTGCGTACGGCCCAGTCCCGATGGACCAAGGGCCCCTCCAGTCGTCTCGGGAGGCCGAGGACTATGCCGCGAGCATGCTCTGCCAGGTAGCCATGCCCCCGCTCGATGTGTACATCGACTGTTACTGTAAATGCTCGGCCTCGACGCTCTGGAGCGGCCCTGGAGCTGGAGCGAGCGCGGAGGAGCCTCGGGCCCACGGCTGGGCTCCTTTTTGGGCGGCTTTCATCCCAACGGGTACCTTCCATAAGACCAGGGCCCATTGCAGCGCGGTGAATGTGCAGAATGCTCGCACCACCCTGTGGGAGAAGCGTGGCAACGATGCCGCCGATGAGTTCGCAAGGCGGGGTGCCGCCCCCTCCACGGAGTGGAGGAGAGCGGGTACCAGCTCTGGCGTGGCCTGGTCGAGGCCTCCAGGGAGGTGGGTCGGTGGAGAGGGCGGCTGCACGCCTTGGTTGGGGAAGGAGAGGCCTGCCAAGCCCACGATGATTTAGTGGAACGGTGCTGCGGGACGGGAAAATGACCACAGCCACTGCTTCTTGTTTGCGCCGCCTTCCAGCAGGCCGAAAAAGAAGCAGTGGTTGTGGTCATTTCCCTCATGTCGAGCTCAACCAACATGACCACAACCACTGCTCTGTCTCTGCTGGCTTGCAGGCGGCAACAAAAGCAAAGCGCTGTGGTCGTTTCCACGTCCCGTAGTGCCTGGCCAGCCGTGAGCTGGTGGAGGCCCCGCCGGGCGAGCTAGTGGACTCTTGCCGGGCGGCAGGCGCAGGGGTCGGAGCGTGCTGGGCCGCCCCCCCCCCTGGCAGCCCCAGCGGGCGGCTTCGCCGAGTACCGCGATGTGGGGTACGAGCTCAGCGGCCGCCCGCTGCTGCACGCCTCGGTGTGCGCCAGATCGGGAGGAGGAGGAGGAGGAGGAGGAGGAGGAGGAGGAGGAGGAGGAGGAGGAGAGGGAGGAGGAGGGAGGAGGAGGAGGAGGAGGAGGAGGAGGAGGACATCAATGTTTGTTGTGCTTGTGGTGCCTTTCTCAACGCTGAACGCCCTTCGAAGGCTCTTCTCCTGCCGTGTATCCGTGAGATCGCAGGTTCGGGTCTCAAGTGCCAGCTTGCTCTGACCAAGGCTGGCAAGTACCCTTCTTTTGAGGGATGGAAAAACGACCCTACCCTGGGTTACAAGTGCGTGGTCTGTAAACCTCCTGGGAGCCCCCAAAGCCTAGAGCCGCCAGGACGCGGCACATCACGCAGGGTTTATCCTGTCAGCGCACAGGAGTTTCAGCGCACAGCGCCTCTTGAACCAGGGTAGGGGCGTTTTGTTCTGCCCTTGATTCTCACAAGACGGATCTAAAGGACCTTTGCCTCGACCCCCCAGTTGGCGTCCCGCTGGGGCTGCGGCTGCTTCCTGCACCGCTTTTTGGCTCTGGCGAGCCTGCCCCCCGCGCCTCGGCTCAGGACGGAGGGTCGGGGGGGCTGCGTGGCGTGGCCACCTCGTGGGGGAGGACGTCCCGAGCCGAGGTGCCGATGGCCTTTGGCCTTCGAGAGTCTGACCTGGCGGCCACCCGCGCCGATGGGGGCCAGACTCCTGCGCAAGGACGCGGAGAGTGGGCCTGAAGAGGCCCACGAGTTTGATTTCGAGGAGGCCTCTGAGGCCTCCAGCGGCGGGCGCTAGGCTAGGCGCTCGAACGCTCCTGGCTTCAGGCCGCTCCGCTTGCTCATCTCATCTCATCTCTCCTCCCTCCTCTCACCCCTGCCCCTGCCCTCCGCTCAACGCTCCCGTTTCGGCACACACCCCACACGTTTCGTGGCCCCATAGGGAGCTCCACCCAAGGCCCCAGTGGCGCAGCTCGCATGTGGGCGTCACCACCGTTCCGGCACATCCCTTACACGTTTCGTGCCCCATTACGGAGCTCCACCTGAGGCCCCAGTGGCAAAATTCGCACGTGGGCGCCACCCCCGGTTCGGGAAACCCCTCACACGCTTCGTGGTCCCAAAAGGAGCTACACCTAAAGTCCCAGTGGCGCAATTCGCATGTGGGCGTCACCCCCGTTCCGGCACACTCCTCACACGTTTCGTCGCCCCATAGGGAGCTCCACCTAAGGCCCCAGTGACACGGTTCGCATGTGGGCGTCGCCCCCGTTTCGGCACACACCTCACACCCTTCGTGGCCCCATAGGGAGCTCCATCTAAGGCGCGTGGCCCCATAGTGAGCTCCAGCGAAGGTCCCAGTGGCGCAGTTCGCATTTGGGCGTCACCCCCGTTTCGGCACCCCCCTCACAAGTTTCGTGGCACGCTTCGTGGCAACGCCCGCGGCCCCGCCCTATTTGGGCACACCTTCACACGCTTCGTGGCCCCGTAATCCACTGAAGGCAATACCCACAAGGACGGGACGCACACCTGCATCTTGCCGGGTCCTTCGCCGAGATCATTTGTATGTTTGGAATAACTCCTGTTCCCCTTCTCCTCCTCCAGCTCCGTCGCCTCCGCCTGATCCACCTCCTCTTCCTCTTCGTCTTGGTCCGCCACCGTGCTCCCTGGCAAAGTGACGGTATCAGTCCACAGCGTTCTGGGCCTGCCCCGACGTATTGGATTGTCAAGGGTCCACAGCATGCAAATTGAAGGCACCGACACTGGAACGCGAAAACGTGACTTCAACGCAACTGTCAACCAGCCCCATGTACTGTTTCGGTCCGTTCAAACACTGCGAACACACTTCTTCGCTATTCTATTCTGCGTGTTTGTGGCGTTCACGCGCTTTCCTCAACTCTCCTGCAGTAGCCCCGCAGACCCTTCCACTCTCCGAAAAAATCCTGTTCCGAGCGGTTGTCAACCGTGGGCGATGTTCGCTGGCCGTTCCCAAATGTATCATGCCGCGCACAGATGTATCGGGGAGACGTAAGACTCGGGTACGGGGACTCGGGTTGGCCTGACAGGGCCATCATGAAAATGACGAGACCCAATCTAAAATTTGACGCGAACTCCCGCTGTAAGCATCCCGCGAAGACCGGACCGTCAAAATCCAGGACGCGCTCGTCAAAAAACGTCGGCAAGCCAGAGTTCTGACTCACTCGAGTCTTACGCTCCCCCGAATGTAGGGGTGAGGACAGCTTCGACCACACACACGTTCGTAATGCTGTGCTCTTGTTGGTGGGCGTCTGCCAGTTCGCGCGGGTGCGCCCCCCCGCATGGCCCAACTGGGAAGCCGCGCGGCAAATCTGATAACCACTGAATTTCCTGCCAGCGCACTTGTGAAAGTCACGGCATGTTTCAAGGGGGCCAAGGACACACAGATAAATACACACAAATAAAACTATTCCCTATATTTTTCCCAATATTTTCTGGGTTGTTGTCTTCCCCCCCACATCCCGTATTTTCCCATATTTTCTGGGAATCGACGATTAATTGTGTCTGTGTTTCTTCCCCTCCTGAAAATCTGATAACCACTGAATTTCCTGCCAGCGTACTGGTGGAACTCACGGCATGTTGTGACAGGCAAGCACACGGCGCTGCACGACAGCGTCAGCGGGAACGTCCGCGCGATATACACCCACATCGCTCGTGCCAGTCCGCGTCGCATTCGCACTCTGACTGAGGCCTCGTTTCTCCAGCCCCCCCAGACAGCGCTGCAAGCACTTGTGCTGCCTGTTCTGCTGGCCCAGCGAGCAAAATGTCGCGCGCGGACCTGCTGTTGCTCAAACGCCGGCCAGGCCCAACTGAAGTCGCTGAAGAGACTGTTTGTTTTGAATCCGCGTGCAGTCTGATCCAAGCTAGCATCACATAGCAATGGCCACATCACATCGCCTTCTTTGATACCGCGGGTAACGTGCTGCTGCGACTTTACAATGTAAGACTGTGCTGGGTGCAGATCGACTTCACCCGCGTCAGTAGGCAGTCACGTGAAGGCTTGGCGGCAGTCGGGCATTTCCTCTACAGCTGTGACATCTGGGGGAGACGGCCAGCGGCAGCCGCTCCCTCAAAGAGGCGTTCGCCCTATCGCCTTGCCGGTCAGCATTCTCAGGGTGTGGGCAAGGGCGCGCCTCGACCATGGACCATGTGCGGGCATGGGCCATCAGCTTAGCTCGCCCTTACTTTGCCCTCGGCAAGGAGAAGACATGCACCCACCAGCGCGGCGTGAGGTGCGACCCCATCGATAGGTACTATGCAAGGAGCAGGTGCGGCCATCAACGTTGGGCTCCAGGGACGCGTGCCCGAGGTGTCATTAGAGTATTCTCCACCCCGGCTCCCCTCCCTCTCCTCCCGACCCCGCCCCCCCTAGGAACGAGGAAGAGCGGCACCACTGCCACAAGGGACCGCCAGCGGGAGGAGCCAGGGGGGGGGCACCCAGGTGGTGCGCACCCTCCCACCCCACCCCTCGGGCGAGACGCTCCTCATCCCCAGCTCGGGGAGGCCTCGTGGACCTCCTCTCTGGAGGTGGCCCCCCTGGTGATGGTGTCGCCTCTTCTTCCCCGCGGTCCCCCCTCCCCCCCCCTCGCACGAGGAGGAGGAAGAGGAGGAGGAGGAGGAGGAGGAGGGGGAGGAGGGGGAAGAGGAGGAGGAGGAGGAGGAGGAGGAGGAGTAGGAGGAGGAGGAGGTGGAGGAGGGAGGAGGAGGAGGTGGAGGAGGAGGAGGAGGAGGAGGAGGAGGCCCTCCCCATCCTCCTCGGCTCCTCGCGCGAGCCCCCGCCCCGTCCCGCAGGGACCGGCGCCGGAGCCGCGCGCCTGGCATGGGCCTGTCCTTCCTGACCAGCATGCGCGGGTCGGCCTCGGACGCCTCGGCCCCCGCGCCGCGCGGGAGGGCCGCGGCCGCGGGGGGACGCCCCCCGGGAGAGAGAGAGAGAGAGAGAGGTGATGATGAGGTGAGCGTGGGCTTCCCTCATCATCCGCCTCCATTCCCCCGTCCACCCCTCCTTCCCCCCGCCCCCCTTCTCCCTCCTCTCCTCCTCCTCGCCTCCTCCTCCTAACCCTCCCCTCCTCCTTCATCCTCCTCATCCTCCTCCTCCTCACCTCCCTCCTCCCCTCCTCCTCCCTCCCCTCCCTCCTCCCCCTCCTCCTCCTCCTCCTCCCTCCCTCCTCTCCTACTCCTCCTCCTCCCTCCCTCCCTCCCCTCCCGCCTCCCTCCCTCCTCCCTCCTCCCTCCCCCTCCCTCTCCCTGTCCCTCCCCCCTCCTCCTCCCCCTCCTCCTCTCCTCCTCCTCCTCCTCCTCGGGGGCCGCGGGCCGCCGCAGTGAGAGAGAGAGAGAGAGAGAGAAAGAGAGAGAGAGAGAGAAAGAGAGAGCGCGCCCCCTTCCGAACCGGCCGCGCCGGGGCCGAGCAGCCTCGAGGAGGGGCAGGAGGGGGGAGACGGGAGGAGGGCAAGCGAGGCGCGCTCGCGCCGTGTCTGACATGCTGCCCCTCCGACCCATGCCTTCCAATTACACGCCGGTCGGAAGAAGTGGGTAGAAACATGAAATAGGAAGGCGTTGGAAGCAGACTGGGCGTCCGCCCGCCCCCTGAAGAGGCAGGGAAGAAGGAAAGCCGCTCGACTTTTGAAGTAGGAAGGCGCCTAAAGTAGATTAGGACTCGGGCATCCGGAAATACCTACTGTCAACGACTGGCGTGTACTCTAGGTTTCTCAATAAGCGTGCAGACCCCCCCGACGGGGGCCAACCTCGCCTCGTCGTCGCGCCGCGACGGGGGTCGGAGCGCCTTCGGCGCGCGGTGGCTGCCCGCGACGGGGGTCGATGTGGGGCCGTCGGCGGGAGTGACGCCCCACCGACGCATATTAAGAAACTCGGAGTACGCTGATTGTTTCTATCCGCCGGCGGGTGTCATGGCGGACCTGGGATCCCGCCGAAATGACACATCGTGTATAGCAGCAGCAAGAGAAGGAGTGGGAGGAGCGGGAAAAGCAGGATGAGCGGGGGAAGGCGGAAGAGGGGAAAGGAGCGGGGCGGCACCGATGAGGAACGACGCCGATCCCAAAAAGTGTTTCAAGCTGCTGCGAGAGAGCGATCTTGAAAGACGGGATCAAAGCGCCCGTCCTAAAATGCGGCCCGCGCGGCAACAGGAACATCATTCTTGAGCCCGCCAACCCGACCAAGCGGATGTGGGGAGGAAGTGGAGGAAACGGAGAAGGAGGAGGAGGAGGAGGAGGAGGACAAGGAGGAGGAGGAGGAGGAGGAGGAGGAGAAAGAATATGGGGAAGGAGGTGAGATCAGAGGATAGAGCAAGCCCCCTCGCCGCCTGCGAGAGCTTGAGCACCCGAGAGCAGCTTAGAAGGAGGGTCCTCCCCCCTCGTGGCCTGCACTCCGAGGGCCTCGCTGTTACGCTCGCGATTGCACCGCTCGACCATCTCCGGAGGAGGAGGAGGAGCCGAAAAGCCGTGCAAGACAGCGACCCGAAACGTACGATCTCAAGCCTCGGAGGCGTGGAAATTGGCACCAACACCAACACCAGGGGTTGCCTCCACAGGAGGAGGGTGATCCTAGGTTTCGGTGTTGGTGGTGATTTGTGGGTCACCTTGGCAACCAGAATATCACCACCATCGCCGAGATCGGGATCTTCTTCCCTCGGTGGAGGCACACCTGCCCGTTCCTCCCCGCGCCCTCGTCTTCCCGCTGCCGTTGCTGCCGCCCGCCCCCTCCGCTCTGGCGGGTGGGAGGAGGAGGAGGAGGAGGAGGAGGAGGAGGAGGAGGAGGAGGAGGAGGAGGAGGAGGAGGAGGAGGAGGAGGAGGAGAAAAGAGGGGGAGGAGGAGGAGGAGCAGGAGGAGGAGGAGACGAGAAGAGGGGCAGGAAGATAAGGAAGGGATGGGAGGGTTGAGGGGACGTAGAAATCAAGGACGGAAAGGAGGAGGGACGAAGAGGCTGGTCGAGGACGGGGAGGACGGCGACACAGCGACGACGAGCAGCAGCAGCAGCAGCAGCAGCAGCAGCAGCGGGAGCAGCAGCGGGGGGAGCCGCAGCAACACGGGGGGGGGGAGATCTGACAAAAGTATCACGGTCCGCACCAAGTCCCGAGGGCACGAGACTGCGGAGGGCAGTCGCGCCCTCGGGGGAGCGCAGCAACCCCCCGATGCTGCCCCCCGCCGCTCCACCAGTGGACGACGGGCACGGCGTACGCGGAGCCGGGCCCCCCCGTCCTTCCTGCGCACATCGCGCCACCATCAGGAACGCTGAATCATCGGCGGCGGGCGAGGGGGGGGAGTGAGAGGGGGAAGGCCTCCTCAGAAGGCTCGGAAGGAAATCCACCGGCCTTCTGGGAAGTCTTCTGAGCCTTCCCGGGAGGTACAAAAAAGAGCCTCTCAGAGGTCGCGAGGGCTCGTGAGCAGCCCCGCCACCCTCTGAGAAGGCCTTCTCCTTCTCACTTCCCCCCCCGCGCGCCGCCGCCACCTTCTGAGAAGGCCTTCTCCTTCTCGCTTCCCCCCCCCCGCTCGCCGCCGAAAGGAGGAGCGAAGGGACTCTACTGGCCACGGCGAGCCTCGGCGCCGAAGAAGTTCCCCGACCCAGATCGGAGGACCCCCCCGAAAATCAGGACCCCGACCCGAGCCCAACGTGGCCCCTACAGGGCAGTTTTTAATACATAGGAATTGCAAAATATGGGATTTCTGATACATGATGAACTTATGATTAAATGTATGCATGAGCTCATCCTTGTTTTTAATACCAACCCCCTGCATGTTTAATACATGATCCGCACGCGGAGCATGTATTAAAAACGGCACTGGACTTCCACGCGTCTCGACCGCACGCAGCCGTGCTCACCCCGCTCCACGACGTCCTCTCCGCTGCTCCCGGGCGCCCCTGCAGCACACGGTCAGGTCGGGCATGTCCTCCTACAGGCGGGCTTTGGAAGAAAAGCAAAACATACTCAAACACAGTCAAAACATACATGTCTTCTTTGTGTTAAAAATTGCCATACTGTTACTTCACTAGCCTTGCAGGTTCCTCCTGTAGAAGGACATGCCCGACTTAAACATACGACGTGCACAGAGCCGCTTTGCTTTTTGGCGCGCAGACATGCTCTGGTGCCCCCTAGTCGGCGGCGTCACCATTTTTCCTTGCAGCCTCAGCGGGAAGGAGGGCAGACAGGGATGACGAGAGGAGTAGAAACGGATGAACCTCGAGTGAGGGATCGATTCCAAAATTGATTGAACCCACTGACCGGTTCGTATCTGCCAACAAATACGTCGAATCTTAATCGATCTGCGAATAATCTGCGCATTTCCTGCAGATCCGGCGAACACTCCAATGTTGGGGTAAATCAATTATGTAGTAGATCCCGTCCTCAGAAGTGGAGGAGTTGCTGGAGAAAGGGTCAGGAAAGGGAGGAAGGACGAGGGAGAAGGGAGGAGGAAGGAGGAACCAGGATGAGAAGCGAATGTGTCCGCAGTGCCCGTGCTGGAAAGGGAAGAGCAGGTTGAGGAGGAGAAGGAAGTGCGCCCGCCTTGTACATCTCTCTGTGGAGTTCGGCCAGCTTGTCCAGCTGGATCCCCGCTTTGGTCAACACCTGTGGCCGAAAAGCGGGCCCTGGAGGCGAACGAATGGCAACTCCTTCCTCTTCATCCCACCTCCCTTCTCCCTCCTCCCCCTCCGAAGAAGAAAAAGATTCCTCTTGCTCGCCAGCGCGTCCGCTCCGTCGCCGCCGCCTCGTCCCCTCCTTCTCCCCTCATCTGTCCCCCCTTCCGCCGCCGCCTACGTTGCCTTTGTCGCCGTCCGCCTACAGCAGGACCTAGGACAGAAGAACATCCCCCAAGAACTGGAGACCCTCCGCCGGGCCAAAAAACACAACACGTTTTCCAGGGTGCCCTCCCCAGGCTGCACAAGAACACTAAGCACACACGAAGGACATTGAGGCACCCTCCCCGAACCAACCTCGATCTTGTGCCTCGGTCCGACTGTACTCTTCGTCGCCTGCCCTCTCCTGGAGCCTGGGTTGAAGTCGGGCATGTCCCCCTACATGCGGATCTTGTGCGACAAATTGTAAAGAATACCCCAACAATACCCAAAATACTCAAAGCATGCTCAAATAATGGTCCCCAGACTATTTCTTACTATTTTTTCATATTCCTCCTGAAGAGGGACAGGCCCGACTTAAGCCTGGGTCACGACTGCGACGGCCAGGCCGAACGACCAGCCACGTTCCAGAGCCTGGACCGCCTCGTCCAAAGCAGCGACGGTCGCTGCAAGAGAGAAAAGATGACCTACTCCTCCATCCCGTCCTGGGCCTCCCTCCTCCCTTCCTCCTGCCGCCTCCCCAACCTCGCTGCTCCCTCCTCCAGCAAGAGTTGACGAGCGCGTTCCACTGCTCGCAAAGTAACTGCTCGCAGATGCCCTGGATCCGCCGCTGGGGATCCACGAGAAATTACATCGAAGCAGGCGTGTGTTTTACGGACGTTTGCGAGTAGGCACTCTGCGAGTAGTGGAACGCGCTCGGCGAAAGAGCCCCCGACCGCACCGCGGGCAAAATGCGAGGGTCGGCACCCTCGACCGACGGTGACAGGGGCATCCTCTTCTCGACTCCTGGTCTGCACTGTCAGCTGTCAGGGGGACGTAAGACCTGGGTACAGGGGACTCGGAAATCCCCGACGAGCTCGTCAAAAAAATGACGAGGCCGATCCTGCATTTTGACGAGGTCTCCCGCTGCAGACATCCCACGAAACTCCTCCTCGTCAAAATCCGAGGCGCGGTCGTCAAAAAACGATGGCGAACCCGAGTCCTGGCAAACCCGGGTCTTACGCTCCCCCGAAGCTGAAGAAGGGAGAATGCTGAAGCGGATGACTACGGCTCAACGTCTCCCGGCTTCCCGTAGGAGGATGATAGAGTGATGATGACGATGACGATGCTCATCATCATCATCATCATCATCATCATCATCATCATCATCATCAGCATCATCATCATCATCATCATCATCATCATCATCATCATCATCATCATCATCATCATCATCAGCATCATCATCCTCATCATCATCATCATCAGCAGCATCATCATCATCATCAGCATCATCATCATGCTGCTGCTGCTGATGTTGTGGCAGGGGTGCGGCGCATCCCGAGGCCAAGGCTCGAATAATAATGATGATGGTGATATGATGATGTTGTTGATAAGGACATTATGATGACGATGATGATGGTTATGATGATGATGATGGTCATGATGATGATGATGGAAATAAGTATGGTGAGGCTGGCTGATGATGACATAATGGTGTTGATGAGGAAGATAACATGTATGGAGACGGTGGTAATGATGCTGTTGATGATGGTGATGACGATGATACTGATGGTGATGATGATGATGACGATGGTGATGGTGAAGACGATGATGATGATGACGATGATGATGGTGGTCATGATGAGGATGATGGAAATAAGTCTGGTGAGGCTGATGATGACTTAATGGTGCTGATGAAGAAGATGACATGTATGGAGATGGTGGTGATGATGCTGTTGATGATGGTGATGACGATGATACTGATGGTGATGATAATGACGATGATGATGACGATGATGCTGATGACGACGACGATGACGATGACGATGACAATGATGTTGTGGAAAATGATGATGATGATGATGATGATGATGATGATGATGATGATGATGATGATGATGATGATGATGATGATAGTGATAGGTGGGTGCGGAGGCGAGGGGGAAGGAGAGAGGGCGAAGAGGACAATGGAGGAGGGATGACGAGGCGAGCGAAGGAGGGGCCGGAGGACGAAGGCGGAGGGGGGAAGGACGCGGACGGGCGCAGCAGCGCACCACTGTGCGGGGACGGGGCCCCTGGAGCCATCGCGGCCGACGAGCAGGAAAGAACGAAGGCAAATGACGCGCGGACGACGGGACGAGAAGGGAGGGATGCCGAGAAAAGAGAGATGGACGAATTAACGACTGCGAGCACACGGGGATAACAGCTGCGCACGCATCACCTTGCCGAGCTCCGCGCAAATCGGTTGGATCGAGGCTCGACCCCCCCTCCCAGGCGCGCGGAGCGCGCCGGTGGCGGCGCGGGAGGCGCCGCCAGGAGGGTCCAGCGCCGATCCAAGGAATTCGCGCGGAGCTCCGAAAGGTTACATTCACTGCAACTCCTTCTTGCCCGAGGAGAGGCGCAACGCAACACCGCTCGAAAAAGCAGCAAGCAATGCAAGCACTCGGGGATGGACAGACCCCTCTATGGTAAAACGTGGTTCAGTGAAAACGACCTGAGGCCCAAACCTGGCGGGCGCAAGCCCGGAAAATAACGGCCACGGCGCCATCTCGAGCACTGAAAACGGACAATTCACTAGTCGACGTGTCACTGTTGGGGGTTCTGTCCACCCCCGGAGCACGGCGAGGGGACGGCGACGGAGGCTGCCTGCGGCGGCGCCCCAAAGCCCCTGCACAGCGCCGGACACAGGAGGCTGCCCACAGCTGGGCCAAAGGGTGCCCCCCACGGGCCCACGTCGGAGGCGGGCCCGGCGAGGGGGGGAGGGCCGAGGACGGCGAGGAGGTCGAGGTCGAGGAGGACGAGGAGGGCGAACGAGAGGGGGGCGGGGGAGGAGGAGCCAGGGGAGGAGGAGGAAGGGGAGGAAGAGGAGGAGAACGAGGAGGAGGAGGAGGAGGAGGAGGAGGAGGATGAGGAGGAGGAGGATGAGGAGGAGGGAGAACGAGGAGGAGGAGACGACGACGAAGAGGGAGGACGAGGCGGGAGGACGGGGAGGGATGATGGAGATCGAGAGGGGACCGCTTGCGGCCTCGCGCCAGTGCTTGCTGGGCCCCCGCGACATCGGGTGGCCTCGGGCGCGAGCGCGCGGTGGCGTGCCGCGGCGGGGATGGAGGCCGGAGGGAGGGGGGGCTGGCCATCGCTCGGACTTCCATTCCCTGTGTTTTTTTCGGTTTCGTGCGTGGTGTTTCGCCAAGTGGTCAAGGATGCTCCTCGATGGTCCTCGCCAAAGGAAACATGCACACGTCCGAGCGATGCCAAGGAGGGAGGGTCGAGGGCAAGAGCAGGACTACGGGGGAAGAAAGTGACCAGGAAGCCCCCACGGTCTCTGCTGGACCGCGGCACGAGCCGCGGATCACACTAATTTGCGCCGATCCTGCTCCACATGGCGGGGCTCTTGAGGCCTGGAATCTCAAGACCTGGGATGTAGGAGGAGGAGGAGGAGGAGGAGGAAGAGGGGAGGAGGAGGAGGAGGAGGAGGAGGAGGAGGAGGAGGAGGAGGAGGAGGCGGAAGCGGAGGAGGATTCAGTGTGATCTCCTGGGCAAGCCACCTTTGCTTCCGCCAACTTCCGCCGCCTTCTGCCGACTCGTCTGCCCTCGTTGTTTACTTCCGCTGGCTCCCGCCGGCCCTCCGCCGCCGTCCGCCGGAGAAGAGGGGGGCACCGTCTTTTGATCCCCCCGAGGCGAGTCCCTCTTCTGGAGACCCCCAGATGGCCGTGCATGGAGGTGACGAAACAGGCACGAAAAGAAAGGGAGGGAGAGAGAGAGAGAGAGAGAGACGCGCCAAGGCGAGGGGAGAACGCAGGCGACGGGGGGGAGGAGAGAAGCCGGGTGGACCGGGGCAGGGTGGCGCGGGCGGAACGAGACAAACGAGGATGTGGCACTGCCCGGTCTCTGATCAGCCACATCCAGATCATTCGCCTCCTCCTCGCCGTCCTCCCTGTGGGCGACGCGCTGACACAAGTGACGCACCCGTGGATCTGGCGCGTGGGCGCCAATTCCAACGATCAAGGAAAATGCCCCCTGGAAAACGGAGCAAGATCCGCCTCATTTGGAGACGGAGAACGCCGATTTTGCATGGGAACGGAACCCGTCGCTAACCTGCGCGCCTTAACCAATGGTTTCGTTTCCTCGGTCCTTCTCTTAGTCTTAGGTCGGGCATGTCCCCCTATAGGCGGATTGTGGGCGAAACATCAAAATACTCAAACCATGATCAAACATAATCTCCTCCTCCCCCTCCTCCTCCTCCTCCGTCTCCTCTTTCTCCTCCTCCTCCGCCTCCTTCTCTTTTTCTTTTTCTTCTTCTTCTTCTTCCTCCCCCTTCTCCTCCTCCTGCTCCCCCGGAGGGCCCCATGTTCTCAAAGGGCTCTTCCACCTCCTCCTCCTCCTCCTCCTCCTCCTCCTCCTCCTCCTCCTCCTCCCCCTCCTCCTCTTTGCTCTCCTCTTCCTCCTTCTCCTCTTCCTCCTCCTCCTCCTTCTCCTCCTCGCCACGTGGACAGCGGCGCCCGAAACACTCCAGGACACTCCACCTCCTCCTTCTGCTCTTCTTCCTCCTCCTCCTCCTCATTCTCCTCCTCGCCACGTGGACAGTGGCGCCCAGGACAGCCAAACACACACTCAATTCCTCCTCCTTCATCGTCCCTCATCCGCCTCTTTTTTCTTCTTCTTCCTCCCGCCGTCCTCCTCCTCCTCCTCCTCCTCCCTCCGTCCTCCGTCTCTTTCCCACTCCTCTTCCTCCTTCTCCTCTTCCCTCCTCCTCCTCCTCCTCCTCCTCCTCCTCCTCATTTCTGAGTCGCCACGTGGACCAGTGGGTGCGGACACTCCGGGACACTCATCCTCCTCCTCCCTCCTCGTCCTCCTCCTCCTCTTTTTCTCTTCTTCCTCCCGCCTCCTCCTCCTCTCCTCCTCCTCCCCCCTCCTTCCCCTCCTCCTCCTCCGTTCTCTTTCCCCTCCTCTTCCTCCTTCTCCTCTTCCTCTCCTCCTCCTCCTCCGCCCCTCCTCCTCATTCTCCTCCTCGCCCACGTGACAGTGGCGCCCAGGACACTCCGGGACACTCCTCCTCCTCCTCCTCTTCCTCCTCCTCCTCCTCCTCCTCCTCCTCCTCTCCTCCTCTTGTTTTTCTTCTCCTCCCCCTCTCCTCCTCCTCCTCTTTCCCCTCCTATTCCTCCTTCCCTCTTCCTCTCCTCCTCCTCCTCCTTCTCCTCGCCACGTGGACAATGGCCCCAGGACACTCCAGGACACTCTCCTCCTCTACCTCCTCCTCCTCCTCCTCTCTCCTCCCTCCTCCTCTTCCTCCCCTTCCTCCTCTTCTCCTCTATCCTCCTCCTCTTCCTCCTCCTCCTCCTGCTCCTCCTCTCACCCCCCCCCCTCTTTCACTCACTCCCCCCGTCGTCTCCTCCTCCTCCTCCTCCTCCTCCTCCTCCTCCTCCTCCTCCTCCTCCTCCTCTCCTCCTCCTCCTCCTCCTCCTCCTCCTCCTCCTCCTCCTCCTCCTCCCCCTTCTCCTCCTCCGCCTCCTCGGTTGGCGCGGGAGGCGGCCGACATCGAGCTTGCCGCCCCCGAACCCAGGGCACAGCGAGCCTCGCGCCGGGGCGGCGGGCGCGGGCTGGGGAGGGGGGGCCGAGCAGTTCTTGCCCCCGCGCGGGCGACCCCTCCCCTGGCGTGTTTCGGTCTCGTGCGGGTGTGTTTCGCAGGGTGGCCCCAAAGAAGGCTCTTCCATGGCCCATGGGCGAGAAACATGCAGAGGCACACGACACGCCCGAGCGATGCCAAGGCCATCGAGAGGCCCCTGGCCCCCTGGGAGCGGTGCCGAGGTTGAGAGGCCTAAGGCACTGGGGGAACGGAGGGATCCTTGGCACGGGCAGGCGAGGCAAGAATCGAATCGACAAGTCGCCTCGGCGATCGAAATGAGTCGGATCGGTGGACATCGGCAGCCGAGTCGGGAAAAAGTCGAATCGATGGACATCGGCAGGCTCGTGGGCCTCCACTGAGACATCGGATCCCGAATCGGAATCCGAATTCGAATCGAATCGGG